GATGGGGTGGGAACTGTCCTGCCCCATGTAGCTGATCTGAGTTCGGGTGGAGCCGTGGAAGAGCGGGAGGGGAGGGGTTGGGGGGCAGCCAGGCAGGTCGAGTTGGGGTCTCACTGGGGGAGGTCACAGGGTGTAAGGCCGGGTGGGGAGGACCAATGGCACCGTGTGAAGTGCTGCCCCCTGCAGAGGGAGCGTCCAGCGCTGGGCAGGAGCCGGCCGCGCCTGGGATCCCACATACCAGACCTCGCCAGCGGGCGCTGGCCTGAGAGGCCACAGGGAAACGAGGCCGGGTTTTGTGTTGAGCCCCAGACAGGGAACAACACTGGATCCTGGCCCGCATGCCATGACAAATGACCAGCTCGGCCAGGGCCTGGCACCGGAGTCCTGGCGCCGAAGCCCTGGTGTGTGGGGCCCGGAGTTCTCCCTGTGGGGTTCTCTGGAGCTCGCCCAATGCTGGTGGCCATGCCGCACTGTAACGCTGGCACTCAGAGACGAGGGGCCGGGAGGGGTGCCTGGGGCAGGAACCAAGGAGGCACCGACAGCCCCTGGTACATGCCCCAAGGGCAGCATAGCCTGTGGGCAGTGATGCTGGCGGAGGGCGTCACTCACAGCGTGTAGCAGTGCAGGAGCCCAGCGCCCCCACACGGAGACACGGGCTGGGGCTCCCAGCAAGCGGCCAAAGCCGGGTCGCCTTGGACACGAAAGAAACAGTGACTTTGGGAGCCCACCCCAGAGCTGGGCGCAGGTGGTGCCGGACCAGTGACTGGGGTAAATCGGAGCTAGGCCGCTTTCTCCTGGGCCGAATTTTTCCAAGGGGTTTGAGGGGCATGGGGGCATGGCGGGCGCTGGAGAAATCTGGCCCCAAATATGGGTGCAAAGTGAGTGAAAACGTGGCCATTCCCGGGTTGCTCTTGGCTCAGCCCCCAGCTGGATTTGGCATGGGGGGGCCCTGGCCAGGTTTGGGGACAGGAGGGTCCCGCTGAGGGTTAGGGGGTGTCGGCCGGTGCCGCGGGTGGGACGGGTGGGTGCCATATGTGTGTGACAGGCCAGAGAGGAGACTTTGGAGGGGCAGTCGCGGGGGGTGCCCGGTCTTGAGCTGTTAGTTCTCTGTGCTGCCGGAGCACCAGGGGCCCCAGCCCTGTCCAAGACCCGTCCTGCCGGGCGCTGCCCAGACAGGGCAGAGATAGGCCCTGCCTGGCAGGGGATGGGAGTAGCCCAAACCCAGCTCCTCGGGGTGGCAGGAGGGTAAGACGAGCTGTGACGGCTATATCCAGCCCCTGTGGAGGGGCGAAAGGGCATGGGGGCTGGCAGGGCATGACCCCTCGCTCCAGGCCCCTGGCCCCCTGGGGAGGGGCCCTGCCCTATTTCCCAGGCCCCAGGCCAGCTCTGCAGCCCGCAGGAATCCTGGCGCCAGACCCCACCCCTCCAGCCACACTCCCAGCATGTTCCCAGCAGGGAGGAGTATCAGGGTCAGTGGGGGAAACTGAGGCACCAAGCTGCGGGGCAGGGGCTGGCCCCAGCACACAGAGCCAGGGACACGGCTGGAACAGGACCGTGGAGGGACTCTGGCTGGGAGGGGACCCTGGACTAAGGCCCCACTGCCAGGGTTCCCCTCCCCCCGCAGCGCAGACCCCAGGGCTTGTCTCCGCTGACGCTGGGGCCAGGGGGCAGTGACCAGCATTTGGGGGGATCAGAAGCTAGCTGCCCCCCCCACCTCAGGCTCTGACCCGTAGCCCCTGCACGGAGCTCTGCCAGTCCTCATCCCCCCAGCCCCTGGGCTCTGCCCCCAGCCCTTTCAGGGAGCTCTGCCAGCCCCTCCCTGCAACCTCAGCTCCTGGGCTCTGACCCCTAACCCCCCATGCAGGGAGCTCTGCCAGCCCCCCCAAGACCCAGCCCCTGGGTGCTGCCTGCCTGGTGGCTGTAGCCCCCACTTCTCCCCAGAACCCCGATGCCAGGGGCTGGTGAGAGCAGGGGTTGGTCGCCCAAGGGGCTGGGATGACAGTTGGGGTCTGTCGGGGGGTCTGTCTGGTCTCGGCTCTTCATTCCCATTGCGGGGCATGGTCAGTGCTGACCCACGGGGGGGCTGTGTCTCCCCCTCCCTCCCGCGGCACAACTGCCCGCGGTGACGTCGCCGACTTGTTCCCAATAGCTCTGAACCGGCTGCCCTGAGCCAGCTGCCCCCTGGGGAGTATTAACCCCTATGGTGCCAGCCGCGGCTGAGCGGCCAGGGCTCGGAGCCTGGGCGTTGGCAGCGTCCTGGGCGGGGGCTGGAATCCCCCCAAGGGGGCTGTCCTGTCCCCGGCCAGGGCCCTGTTGCCATCCCCACGGCTCCCCCTCCCGGTGGGCAGGGGAGGGGCCAGGGCTCTCCTGGGGCACAGGGCCAAGTTGGCAGCAATGCACTCTGGGAAGCTATCCCACAATTCCCAGCTTCGCTCTCAACAGCAGTGGGGTGCAGGTGATTTCGCACAGTCCCCAGGGCATTGTGGGATAGCAGTGGGGAGTGGCCTGTGCCTCAGGGCATTGTGGAATAGCTGTGGAAGGACCACTAGAGCCAATCCTAGAGCACCCCCAATGCCAATCGCCCTGGCTCCCCCCCACACACGCCCGTGCCCCCGGCCGGCGGAGCTGGGGCAGGGCTGAGAGCCGAGGCTAGAGCCGTGGGCTGCCCGTTGGGCTCGGACTGGCGCGCCGAGACCCTTGCGTGGTTATCGCAGGGCAGTGGTTGGCCCGAGGCCCATCGTGCGGGTAGCGCCCAGCCCTGCTGCCCTCTGCCTGGAGCAGAGCTGGGTGGGTCAGGCTGGGATGGCAGGGGACTGTGGGTCGGGATTGAGGGGCACCCATGGGGGGAGGAGTCACAGCAGGAGACTAGATAGTTTGGTGCAGTTGGAGCTGATCTGCCCACCCCTGTCTCTTGCCTCTCAGCTTCCGGAAAGTGATTCCTGAGTGTCCCCTGCGATGGCCTCATGCAGGGACTAGGGTACCGGGGGCTCCCCCCAAAACCAGCTCCTGCCCCACTCCCCACAGCGCCCCCTGCTGGAGGAGGCTGGGACTGGAGGAGCCGGAAGCTCCCCTGCCCTCGGCTTCTGCCCCACTCCCCACACCACTCCCTGCTGTTAGAGGCCAGGCCTGGCCTAGCCGCGAGCTCCCCTGCCCAGACTCCAAGGACAGGCTGGTGCGGCTCTGTCCCGGTGCGTGGCCGCCGGGGCCCAGCTGGGCTGCAGCGCGAGGCCCTGGCACATCCGGCCGCACAGACGGGCGAGCAGGTTATAAATAGCCCCGCACCGGGGTAATCGAATTGGGCTGCGAGCACAGGCTGCCGCAAGTGCACCAGCTGTGGGGCTGGTCCCGGCTGGGGGGACACTTTAACCCCTTCACGGCTGGGACTGCTTGCAGGCTGAGAGGAGGAGGGGCAGGACCCCAGT